GAATTTGGGGGTGGGTCAGCCAATTTTGACATGCTTCAAAGGGGTGGGTCTTTTTATAGTTTTGGTATAAATGGAGGGGGTCATAAAAATAATCAGTGAAAAAATCACCAATATAATTTTATAGAATTTGGAAATATTTGGATCAAGAATGGTAAAAAGGTATAGAATCTATCAACTATCTCGTCATCTATACCAATGAAGCAAAATTCATTTGATGCTCTGTTCACACAGTCCATACGTTCGTCAATTGACCTTGTTTTTATCCGTTTTTGTGTGAAAACATGAATGAAAGAAAACGCAGGACTGTAGCATGATTTCAAAATCATGCATGATTTCAAAATCATGCAGACCTTTATCAATTTTAAGCTTTATTAATTTTAAGCGGCTACATTATCCATGACAAACTGCAAAGAATGAAGATAGTATCCACAGTTTCCTGCAACTTATCCTAGTTATCCAATATATAGTTAATTAAATATGCCTTCGCCCATTTAGTACTACCAAATTGTCAATTTCGACATACTAAAACGCTGTTTTCTGACAATCAGAATTCTGTCAAATCTTCCCCCAAAGGCCAGGAAATGGCATTTCAGAGACTCTAGATTTAAAAATTTCCTCGGGCCTTTGGCCCTCGCTTTCAGCCCCCCAATCATAAAGAGCTTCCTACAGCCCTGAAACACTACGGAAATGACACCGTGTGGATTAATAATAGTTAGGATGAGGGGTCAAAAAATTTTCGAGTAAGAAAAATGGGGGTCATAATTTTTTATCAACTTCTCTCTCGGGGGTTCCAAGTTTTAGCATGGAATTAGACTTCAGTTCCTCCGGCCCACCCCCCCAGCTAAAAAATGAATGCTCCCTAATAAAAAATACTTTGCTAAACCTTTTCTGCTGTCATTCCTTTGCATTTAAGGGGGGAGGGTAAATGGCGATAGAATTTATAGGATATGCTGTGCAATATTTTGGCTTCAACAAACAGGTACTCGTGCAGATCGACCAAAAAGGAAATTCATGCAGTTGTGAATTGTCGTATGTCAGCTGTGCACTGACACCCACTGTCGATTTCAAACAATTTTGTACGTTATATTTTGTCTTCCTGGTGTTTAACATAAACGATGATAACCTTTTTAAAAAAGCTAGAGCAATATGTCTATAAACAGTTTTAGAATCAATAAAATGGACATTCAATGTGTATTTGGCTTCTGTCCAAATGTGTCACGTTAAGACCGGCAAGGCGCTAATCCTACGACCTATAAACAGTCGCTTTTGAGACATCTGTTTAAAAAATTTTATACCGTGTCCATATCAGAACAATTCATTGGCATATTATAAGCATATTATAAATATCAGAGCCAGAACAGAAACGTACGCGTGAAATGAAACTACGCCCGAACCGGCAAAGTCCGAGAAAATAAAAATATTTCAAAGCGTACAGCCATACGTTCTCGTTGCTTGATTTCCTGAATTTTCTGTTGCTATAAGAATCTACATTTTAGCATGTTTGTATAATTTCAAAGCAAACAGAAACCAATTCAGCAAGTAGTTTGAGGTATATATGATTCTTGAAGATGAATTAGATGATTGTACAGAACGGCCACTCCTTGCAATCGAAGTGCGGAAGTGGAAACATGTAATATGAGACTTTTCCATCCCCCCCTTCGGCTATCAATTTTGTATGTGTGACGTCATAAGCCCCGACCAGGGTCTTTGCTTCCCAAGAGCAAAGAGCCTGGGAACGAGGTTGGATAAGTTTGCGATGAGCCACATGCGAACACTCTTGTAGAAAGGTTGTGAGGTTTTTAGCGTGTATTTCTATTAAAAGAAGAAAAAAGCCTAAGCCATGAACTTCTAACCGTTTTTCTTGATGATCTATCTTAGGTACTAACTATGCCAAATATGTCAGTTAAGAAATGTTTCGTCTTGCTGTTCTCTGCCCTAGTAGCCATCAATATTTTGGCCACAGTGTATTTCCACTGGATGAAACATGAACGAAAGGGAATGGTCATGGTGGCCCATCGTTATGATTCCGCAGTTGAAACACCAGTGACGCTTTTTATGCGGATGACTTCATTGCACGTAAAACGATTTTACTGTGACTTTTTCAGGACAGCTGTCTTGTTTTGGCCTGCTTCGTATGGAAAACTTGTCCTGGTATTCGACCAGGAATCGTTGCAGGATCACAAACTAGCCAAAATCATACAGAGACAGTTCGATCAATTCTTCCCAGATCGCAAACTTGAAATACTCTACGAGCCTCTTCCTATGAACCATGAAACGCTCTTGAAGCGTCCTTGGCGGGCACGCGATACTGGCTACAATCGTCAAATTTGGAGCAGCTTTTTTAATGATTTATACACGAACGACACAGTCATTGCATGGGTGGATTCTGACAGTGCATTTTGCACGTCGGTGACGCGAAATTCCATGTACAACGGTACACGATTGAGAGTGGCTGGAACTGATTGCACATTTTCAAAAGAAGCGTTTGTTAGGCATTGCGTGAAGAGCGTGGAAATCTCCATTGGCCTACCGGCTGTAGCCGACTTCATGCTGCATTTCCCAATATACATATATCGCGATACGTATGCCAACTGTAGGGAATACTTAATGCGAAGATATAAAGCACGCAACTTTGAGGAAGTCTACAGGAATATAAGTTCTTACGCCGTTATTTGCCCCGTTACGACAATACTCAACTACGCATGGCACTTCGAGAGAGACCGCTACGACTGGAGTCTCAAGATTTGCTCAGCACCTCTCGATGAATACAATAAACGCTTCAAGCCAAGCGCGACCATCAGACCCTACGACATACAACCTGTCATGGCAGCCCCTCAATCAAGCGTTCATACTGGTAGTCCATCTTCGGCGTATCGTTCGGCTCAGTTAATTCTAGCCAGTTACTGTTTGTCGCACAAAGCAGCGGGACACAATCTGACATTCTGTACCGGCAAACGCAACCTTCCTCTGAGCAATAATCTTATTCTATTCAAATATAAAGCAGCGCCGCTAACGTGCAATGGGAGTTGTCTGGATGTTCTACAGCGTCACCACAATCTAGTAGGATCTGAAATTCTAGAGAACAAGCGAAGGTTGGAATGGAGCGACGTGGAAATTGTTGATAAACTTGTGAAGGAAATAAATGCTACATGTCCTGTTCTTCATAACGGGAGCCCAAGGGGGATGATCCCTATTGTATAACAGTTAAATGAGTGTGAATATGTCCGCTAATTTATGACGTCATGTTGGCTGCAAGGTCAACTTACACTGGTTATAAATGTATTAACTCTAAAAACGGTTGATATTAGTTTACGTTTTTCTCCAGTGTTTCATCACATTTACCAGTGAGTGAAGTTTGAATTTACCATCTTGGATGATATAGCAGTGATATTTAAATTAACCATTTTGAAGAGCTTGCAACCAACATGACGTCATAAATTAGCGGACATATTCACAAACCATAAAAACAAGAAATTGAAAAATAAGTTACACTACAACTTAAAGAGTTCTTTCATTTAAGAAAATAAAAAATTTCATGTCATATGCACTTTAATAGGAAAGAAGAGAGACAAGAAAAGGCAATAGTAAAGATAATTTAATTTCAATTGTTAACGTTCTTATCTGCCTTGGAGTTGGCGATGTTGCAATGTAATACAATATATTAACACAATTATTCAGCATTTTGTTATCATAACACAAATCTAAATAAAACTATGTAAATATGAAGCTTGGGTGAATGCTCACATTATTTAAGATATTGCATGCATGCTTAGTCACACATAGGCATATGGAAGGAGTGGCAGAAAGAAATTTGCCTGACTTTTCTGTCGTTCGCCCAACAAAACCCCCCCCCCCCCCATAGTCTCACATAAATAGCTCATAATAAAAATCAGTAACTTTATACACGTATCACCTAAATAATACAGAATGATGTATGGCAATTGGCCTTTGTCACGAATGCCAAAATCCGCCATTTTTGGGGTACTGTCTGCCCTCGTGAAAGATTCTAGACAATCAAACAACGTGAAAAGCGACTTTTAAAGACTGTCAATTTACTATTATATACAAACAACTGCAATACTAAAAAGTTCGTGGTGCGGAGACTCTCAAACGTGCGAGAATCAGTACCCCTACCCAAAATGGCCAAAAAATCGGCTGTGAGAAAGGCGAATTGACTACTGTTACTTGTTTACATCATTGCATTCCAATTCAAAACTTTGGACAACTCACATACCTAGATTTTTTATGAATTATGAATACAATGTAATTCACTGATCAATTTGAGCAAATTAGGTTGGTCATCATATATATGAACACCTTTTGTTGCTGGAAATCTTAGTTCTTGAACATTTCATGCAATATTTAGCTTAATTTATAGCATACCAATGCTTTCGTGGTTGAAAATTTATCGTTAAAACTTTGGTACACACTTCTTCAGCTATCATTTAAAGACTTTCAGAAATGATTGGGGGGGGGGGGGGGCTAGATGTTTCTAAATAATGTTTAGTTAGGTTTGTTTTATTGATCTGTAAACTGAAACAAATTAACATAGTGGCTATCAATACTTGGATGGTCTGTACCAATGTACGTGGTGTCAATATTATTAGCGTTGTATAGGTAATAGTATGGTTTCCAGGGCAATTTGGGAAAAACATGCATGGCCATGAGTGAGTTTTTCAATGACTATCAAAACTGCACGAGTCTGAAGCACGAGTGCAAAATTTGAAGTCTTTGAAAAACTAACGAGTGTACTTTTTTCAAATGTGCAGTACTCGAAACCATACTATTACTTTTTAATAATATACATGAAAAAATTATGCACCAGGGTGTTAGCTACAGTCAAAAATTCCGCGTTAAACGCGGTTTTCCCAATTACCTTGAGGTCGCAATTTCCAAATTTGGGTCAGCCAAAAAATAGTTATAGAAATTCAATGTTGTTAATAAGCCATTAAAAACATGTTTATAACTATATATTTGCTCAAAATTACTCCCAAAATGTGGGAAATGCCATTTCAAAGACACAAAAATTTAAAAAATCGAGAGGGGGTAACCGCATACCCCCAGCTCCACAAAGAAATGCCCTGTTTCAGGCTAAAATAAATTTCCCAATTTCAGGTAAACGCGGATTTTTTTTTTACTTCTGGCTAACACCCTGTGCACTCACGTGCGTAAGTCACATTTAGAAATTAAGAAAATTGAAAAATAAAAAATTAAGAAATTTGCACTGCATTTCTTTTTTTTGGCACTGTATTTCGAAAAAATTGCACTGCTCTTAGCCGATCAGCATTGAGAATTTTTTCATGTATATTATTAGGATTGACGGCAGCGATACAACCACTACATGAAAAACACAAGAAGAACTATCCCGAAGCTTTCTCGGTATCAGGTATGCATGGTCATCCAAAGTTGTTGATTTGGTATAAGAAGCATTACTTAATATTCGGTCTACTAAAGACCACCCGAAGGCTGAAAATTAAGATACCATGAAGTATTTGCATACACTTCATTTTTATCATGAGTATTTCAATACTTCATATTCTGCTACAGCTTTAGCAAGTTCCCTTCTTGCTTTTATAACTTGCTTTTCTTGTTTTCTAATATCCGCTTTTGTAATTCTTATCGGCTTCTTTGTCGGCTTCTTGTGATTCCCTTCCAACTCTTGTGGTTTTTTGTTTGCTAAATCTCTCTCCATTTGTAGTGTCTTTACAATTGAATGCAATAATGATTGAAATTCTCCGTTCGCATCACAACACACATCAAAATCTACCAGTCCATTTTGACCACTCATATTTTGCAATCTTCTCTCCCAATAAATTTGCCGAGGCGACACAAGCCCCATACCACTCCTGTTTGGGACATTTTTGAAAGTTAAATCCAAACCGTTTGTACTGGAGTTTAAATCATTGGATACAACAGTTACTGATCCATTAAATAATTTTTTAGGCTGCTGTCTAAATGGTGCAGAAGCCATACTAAAGTCTGCAAGGTCCTTTCCATATGCGTCGGTGTTACTGGTTGGATTTTTACGCTTTCTTGTTGTAGTTCTCTCAACAAATGCACCAGTACGATAATCGAATTTGCTCAAGTCTTTTACTTCTCCATCTGTCTGGAACAACATCTTTTCAATATCAGGCTTTGAACGGACCTTCTTTCCTGTTGGGCTAGTGGATAAGAGAATTAAAAATGCAACTTTTGTTATTGGAGTATTAAGTCTATACAAAACATGTGTAACTCCAAAGATTGATAACATTTTTATATTTATCAACGTTTCGACTATATTTCAGTCATCATCAGGATAAACTAGCTAGGTTATACATCAAAAGCAGCATTTATATGAATAAATATGATACATTAGGTTGATTATTAACGAATTAGTTAAATATGATTAGTTCTGTTTGAAGCTTTAATTACATGATTAAGTTCAGGTTTATATCTTTGAATAGCGAGGGATTCTTGATACAGCAAAAGGAACCAATGGTTAGATTTATCAATTTATACTTTAGTATTGTGGAAAACATGTTCAGCCATTATACTGGTTTGATTAGATTTTGCATCATCCTTGGGGTATAGTTCTAAAAGGGCTATAATATGTTGAAAATCTAAAGTCTAGTGTAACCAAATAAATGTTTGTGCTCCAAAAGATGAGTTAGGTTAGAACCTAACAAAAAGAGTCAAACTTGAAACTTTTACAAAATTTAACCCCTACCCCCCCCCCCCCCACAATGCACTTCTATTACCAGAAGCAAATTTTATCCCCTCCCCATCCGGACAGCAGAAATTTTCCTCTGTGGGGGTAGTGTGGATATTTCCCATTGCAGACAGATTCAAATGTCCTGACAATATCATTCTTATATATTTTCTTATAAAAAGAATGTCTATGAGGCTGATGTAAGTAACATATGAGCTTATGTCTACTAATGCTAACCCAATTGCCAACCTACAAAGCGATATTGTAGATTTAGGGACCGCCAGGGCTCAGATTTTATCACATCAATTGCCGTAGAGGGAGAACAAAATGATGTGGATCATTGTGGCAACGATGGCAATTTTTTGCCGTATGGTGCAATTTTTATACTATTCACTGTGCATTACTACTTTGATACTTGAATTCAGATGTTGATCAAATCATGCGTAAATCACTATTTTAGTCTCAGTTTTCTTAAAAAAACACTAAAGAAATACGTAGACATGTTTCTAGCTTGTCAAAAATCCAAAGTAACAATAAAATTAAAGGGGAAGTCAAGTCCATTCTGCGCATCGGTTCTGCGCATAACAATGTGAGGACCTCTAATGTGAAAATTGCCCAAATTTTCGAATTTTTTCGAATTTTTCTGAACATAAACTTTATTTCATATTCATTTAGAAGCATAGCAAACCAAAATGGTGTTAGATATTCAGACAGTACATCATATTTTAAAAATTACAGCAGTTCAAAATGTAAACAAACCGTTTGTTTACATTACGGACTTGACTTCCCCTTTAAAGTTTTATTACAGTAATTTGAAAAATGCCGTGGAAACTGCCAACTGCCGTGGAGCTGTTACGTTCTATGCAAATTTTTAACGCCATTGCCGTCGACTGATTTCAGGGAATTCGAGGCAGGCCTGGGGACCGCTCATTATTTATTGTACAGGAGGGGACTGAGGAAATATTTTTTTGTTGCCCCCTCTTATGACAAGTAGAATTTTCAAAGCCCCCTCCAACAGGCAAAACAAGAACATAAATTTTGGAGCCCCCCCCCGCAACTCTAGCTCTTTATTTTTCAAACTAGTAAATCTTTTCAAAGCCCCCTTCTTTCATCTCTCTGTATTTTTTCAAAGCCCCCTTTCAGGTTTTAAAAAAAAATTAAAGCCCCCCCCCCCTCAGTTTCACCTCAATACCCCCTGTACAATAAATGAGTGGTCCCTTACATTGGCAAAACCTAGGCCTACTTTCAGAATCCTCTCCGCATTAAAATCCTTGTCGCAACAGTGTGACGTTTGCTGACAATGTTCATATATACTGTATGTATTTAAAGACAAGCAAGAATCAAATTTTGACTTTGGACATTGTCTGATATTAAAATTGTCAGCCTAGATCGATAATTATCATTTTCAGATCAGCAATATTTCAGGGGTTTCAAAGGTTGTACCCAGTGTGGAAAGTTTGTATCATAATATTGAGCAATTTCCAAACTTTCCAGGTCAAGCACTTTACTTGAATGGACTAATTGGGCAGTAAAGACATGTCCCTACATTCTCTTTTATAGTGCCAAACAAGCCTGGCTCCTAATATCTCTCATGCACATAAAATCAATAAAAATGATATTCCAATATAAATATATCAATTTTCTTTTAACTGATTTTAATGTAAAAGTACAAGTCAGGAAAACATCCATAAGCTAGCCTTCTAGACTCGCACACCACGAAATATCTTGCTAAATTTTACAATTTCAACAGCAAAATCTTTCAATGTTGACAAAATTATTAATTTGGCAAGAATCAGAACACTATGTACCTGTAATAATACACGTCACTTTTGCCCGCAGAATTGCCGCGTTTTCGCGTTACAACGACTCTAGTCCAACCAGGCAAAGCCTCGCAAGGCGTTCTGACTTTCTCTTCTACCAATCCGTTGCTTTCTGGCAGAGTTTCGACACTTTGTTCGACTTCTATTTGAGTTTCTTGTTCAATCGAGACTTCCATGTTGCAACAATCGAAGGTGCATCGAGTTCGTACCGGAAGTCTGGACTCTAGTGTTGGTATGACGTCACAAACTTGGCCGAGTTCGGACTGGAAGTCTGGAACCAATACCATACCAATACTTTAGAAGCCAAGGACTCAAGGCTGTGGATCTTTATATTTCTGTGCCCTGGACTCAAGGTCAGATATTTTAAAGCAGCCATAGGCTAAGAATTTTTGCATGGGTTACTACACTGGACATAGAGACACTGGGGGCGCTTTCCTTTAACACGGCCAAACCGGTCAAACTGTTGAATGAAACACAAAACATTTGGGCTTCGGACTTGTCTGACTGGAAAATTTTGATAACATTAGAATGAGGTCCATTTTCGCTAGATATTTGAGAAACATAGACCAGATCTTTCCATTGATACAGAGGAAAGAATTCAGGTCTGACCGGTCAGACCATTAAATGGAAAGCGCCCTGGACGTCCACATCTGAGATATCTTATCCAGGTAGTTCGGATACAAACCACCACGCCAGCATATTGTGACTATTGTAGAACACTACATTCACTGGACCCCCACATCTGAGATTATCTTTTTCAAGTAGTCCAGATACAAATCACGTACGGCAGCCTATATTGTAGAATACTACCTACACAGTCACTGGACCACCATGTTTGAGATATCTTTTCAGGTAGTTCAGACACAAACCACAGTAGCATATTATACAGTTTTGAACTGTCTTTGCCAGTGTGAGGTAGTGCCAAGAAAATGAACAAGCTTTCTTTGGTAGGATTCGGCTACAACTGTGGGTTAGGATATACAACTACATGAAAACATATGTTTTCATGTATAGCAGAACTTCGATTTTTCAAACTTCGCTTGAAATGTCAGAGGTGTAACTTAATTACTTAACTCTTAAGGCTTGCCCGGGGCAAGTGAATATCATGATGGGCAAGTACACGTTTTATCTTGCTTGCCCGATTGGGCAAGTTGCCTTCAGTTGCCACAAAAAGCTGGGTATCTTTAAGTTTATGTTTTCATTGCCGGATAAAATTTTTATAGTGCATGTACTTGATTCAAATTTTGTTTTTTGTGGGCCAAAGCTAGATTTGAGGCAGTATAACAGAGCCATATATAGAGCAGCGGGAGAACAGGTCGACATGTTGTCCCCTTTATACCCCCTACCTAGGTACCCCAGTGGCCATTGTCTGATGGGAAGTGAATTTTATTCAGGGCAACTAATTTTCATGTCCAACTTGCCCTGAGGGCAAGTGGTCAAAAAAGTAAAGTTACACCACTGAATATTTCACTTGAAAATACAGGACTTTCACGCTTGAGATTATCTTTAACATATATTACTTCACCTGTTCATTACATATATTTCCACATTTTATTACAGTATCACTTAAACATTTATCTATTAAACCTAAACAATAATTGTTCACATGTAGAAGCCCCTTGTTTTAAGATCTGATAATTATACATACAAAAAGCATACTTATTATATAAACATACATAGCTTCTCATTCTGAAAATCAGTTCTAACTCTCCATTCCTAATGCCTTAGATTTTAAATAGTCGTACTCCTCTATTGCGTCGGCCAATCGTTTTCTAACGTACTGAACTCTCTCCTCCTGTCGACGAATGTCCGAGTCGCACACTTTGAAGGGGGCGCACAGAGGTTGTGCAGCATTTAACCAAATGCATGGATTTTTCTCAAATGCTTTGAGGGACATATTCTGACCAGAAATATTTTTCTTCGACAAGTAGAGATCTGTTGTTAGAGTATTCACAAGCGAACCCCATTCCTTTTTCGGTCCAACAGGTCTAAATAGACTCGGTAACTCATATTCATCAAGGTTATTATCATTCTCATCGACAACATGTAAATCTTGTAAACATTTTTCCCAAAAGATTGGTCGCGGCTGTTGCCCCGCATTACTCTTGCTATCAAATTTCTTATCAACGCCGGAAACATATATCGGTGAATTATTAATGACAGTGACGGGTTGCCGAGTAAATTTAATCGCAGTCTGTCTGAGCGGTATCTTGGTAGGAGATATACCAGCTGCGGCAAAGTCTCTAGTGAATACGTCGGCTTTCCGTTTTCGGCTGCTATTCCGTATAATTCCATTTGTCATGGTTCCCGTTCTGAAGTCGAAATTTCTCAAGTCAACTTTGCCTTTCAGGAAATCTTGAACTTGCGGCTTTGAACGGAATTTTTTACCACAGGGACTGGAATTTGTAAAGGAAAAAAGAAAACTTGAGTACAATAAAAAATAAGATTTGTCATTGCTTGCTTGCATACATGGATGAACAGCCATAGAACAAAACGTTGTCATGCCCATGTGAAACTGCAATTTGATTGGCTGAGCCAATTGAAACCTTTTTACAAATATCAAAGTTCTGTGCATCTATTTACCCTCACAAAGACCAGTTAAATTTGGACCATATACAAATTGTGCCCTGTGAAAACAGAAGGCAAAGTCCTCCTAATTTGTGTATGGTTTAAAATCTTAAAAATGGTAGAAGCGTAACCAGGATTATTCATATTGATAGTTTGGACATTCTCTGGTTTTTAAAACACTTTCCCGTTGAAGACTGCAGACTGGCAGTCGAAAGCTCGTTTCAAATAAATTTTTAAAAACCAGAGAACGTCCAAACTATCAATATGGTTTAAAATCTGTTCAGCTAGTAACTTTTTCACAACATTTGGACACAAAATAGGAAAGTACAGCAGAAGTGTAACTTGAGTCGGTGTTTACATCCACGAAAATTTTAACTCGCTCACGCCATCCTGGCTAGTACAGCCGGAAGTTTTTATCAGGTTTTGGTAGGTACAAAGTGCCGGTTGTACTAGGCAGGATGGCGTGATTGATGACGAATCACTTGTAAAAACGCGGACAAATACTTGGTGTACCTTCCTATTCTGTGATTTGGATAGCCCTGGGCAATTAACAACACACACGTGACTTTCAGCATGTATATACAGTGTGTACTAAACGTAGATATTTACTGCTTTTATTACAAAAACCTTATGCAAGCAACTTTTCTTAATACACCATAGACATCAGTAATCCTTTTCAAACACTTTTTAATCAAACAGAATGGCAAAAGAAATCAATGTGAGCCAGCATTTATGTTACCTGTAATAGTAAATATCAACTCTGCCCGCCGAATTTCCCGATTTCCTAATGACAACTTCTCTGCTCCAGCCATGAGGGAGACCTTCGCATTCTGTACGATAACGCTCTTTAGCGTCGCCTTTTCTTTCTCGTAATTCACGCTCCATTAAAACAATTTTGAAGTCAACAATACTTTTATGAAAAGAAAGGACAGAGAGCTTTCATTCAACATTAGTACATTACCATGCCACAACAAAGGCGCGCGTTGTGCGGGGGCCTGAGTGTGAGTATAAAATATAAATGGTATTCTATTTTTATTTTATCAATCAAATATAACTTTTGCACATGAATTGCCTTTCCCTTCTTCTACTCTGTCGATTCAAAACATTTATATTTACTACATTTTAAAATATTAAAAATCTGCAATGGGGAAACGTTTGATCAATTTTTGTATAATTTTTGAGTAATTCTAATTTGCGCATGCGTGAAATTTAGTGTAAATTCTTGTATAAATTTTGTATAAATTAAAATAATCATTGCAGTTCGTCACTCAGACCTCTGCGCAAGTGCGCATGCATTGGGTTTCGTTAGTTAATTTTCATATGCTAACACGTCCCACAAGCCTTGTATCAGCAGAGTATCACCTTGAGTTAGAGTATCACCTGTGAATGCTGTGATTTGACCCTCTTGTGAGTAAGGACAGTAAGGTGTTACTGCAGGGGCGTAGGAACCGGGGGGCCAAGGCCCCCCAAGTTTTGGCAAGTGCCCTTTTTCCAGAAGCAAAGTGCCCTTTTTGTGCGTGAAAATTTTTCATTAAATTGTATTTTTAGCCCAAGGTGCACTTTTGAAAACTTTAATGTACGTTATTTCCTGAAAAATGTTAAAAATTGAGGAAAAAAAAATCATATATATCCGGAAAATTTTGTTTGTATTCCGGAAAAATTTTTTAGTATTTGCGAAAAAATTTTGTTTATCCTGAAAATATTTTTGGGATATGTCGTCAACAAAAAATTTGGAGATGCCCTTTTTTTCGAAAAGTGCCCCTCAAAGCCTGCCCCCCCCCCAACTTTTCGAAGGTTCCTACGCCCCTGGGTGTTAGTGACTGCATGATTTGGGGTCTTGCAAAAATGGCCTGGGGGCCGCTGACACTCTCCCCGCAGTCCCCGGTTGGGAAGCCACCAGTTGGGTTTAGCAGTGGGTTTAGCCGAAATCTAGCCTACTAAGCGTACAGTGTCCTAGCGGCTACCACAAGATGGTCCTCTGCAGTTCTTGAGTCTTGAGTTGGAATGCTAGCAGAGTCAGGATGTAGTGGTATGGCCTGGTCCAAATAGGATTTTTGTCATTTTTTTTTATATTATCACTTCCACCCATACTGACTGTGATTAAGACAAATGGACTTCATTTTATACCACATATAAAATTTCGAAATGTCAAGACAAATTTTTGAAATCCTAGAGAATAAATCTGATATTAAAAATAAAGTCAATAAAATAATGAATCGATTTTGCGCAATTCTAGTAAAGTTAATTTTTTTAAATTTCGTTTGGTAAGTACCGCTGATCAGTTAGTGTAACTTTGTTTTTCCTCTACAGTTAACAGTTTTGAACAATTATGAATTTTGAAAGAGAAAACGTGGACTTTAACTGTATTTAGTCATAAAATTGTTTGTTTTGTTTCTCTCGTCTTAGCGTTTGCCTTCATATTATTCACAAAAAATTCAAAAATTGAATTATTTTCGAATTTGGATTTTGCATATTCGCGACTTATATACTTCATGTAAATATTTTTTACTTTCAGTTTGAAAAGCGCGGGGAAAATCAAAAATGGCGGTCGTGAACCTGGATTTTGTGAAAATATTATTAATGCATTTTCAAGACGTCTTAGCCCTGACATTTTACTTGTAATACAACATTTGGTCATACTTTCATACTTAGGTGAGGAATGTCTGTATTTCTCTGGCTTTCTTGATAACAAATATTGTTTTTAAAACTTTTTTAAATTGCATTGTTGATTGTAGGAATATAAATGGCTAATTTAATTCCAATGGGAAGGTCAGCCTGGTTTTCCTCAACAGTACAAAAGTCAAAAGTTGAAAGTTGGGGTAAGGGTTTTAATTCAGGGCTGTAGACATTGGGGGGAGGGGGGTGGAGGGGCATAATCTGAAGGGG